TCTTTCAACGAGCACTGTCCTATCCATCGTTCGTTTAACTCATTCATATAGTACTCAGCATGGCGTAAGAATGAGGTTTAAAGTTAATTTGAAATCTGTGTCAGGAACTGAATGAATACTGGCCCCCCTCTCTTCCATTCAGCTCAAACTATGAATGGTGATGAAATACAATGAAATAGAACTAACCTTGATATCATGGGTTAGCAATCAAACTGCTAGTTTTCGACACCGTCGGTGAGGATAATCACCTCTAATCACTTATACGGATTCGAACGGCGTAATCGCACTGACCTCTTGGTTCTAGTATCTATGTGGCCGTTTCTCTTGTTTGAGCATGTCGTTGTTCGATCCAGCAGAGTGATATAGCTTTGCGCCCATGCACTGCAGGTGCTAAAATGCCATGGAGCTGTGGCCTGCTTAAACGAGTGCGGAAAAGTTGTAGAAGAGGATGAAATCTTTTAACCAACTCGTTTAGGTACTGCTGTGGTAGCAGGGCATTTCTGCCTGGTAAAAGGACAATCCAATGATACAGTCGGATGGAATGAAGCAGAGACGCAGTTCGTATTAATCCCTAGTGAAAGTACGACGATATCGTTGTGTCTTGTCATCTACGAAGATTGATGACTCATGGACAAGAACAGTGGAAGATCTGTCAACACTCTATCAATACCAGAAAATGCAAGGAATTTAGTACTCTCTGCGAAGACCAAGAACACCCCATAATACGCAGAAAGTTAGCTCAAAGTTTAACATTATGATATTTGTTAATGTCAGTTCTGCTGTAAACTACGACACCCTTCTTAACGTAAGTTAGTAAACAATTACAATTCTTCAAAATTTAATCAGGATAGTGTACTCCGTTCCTTCAGTCCCAGGCTGTGATCAGAGTTCAAGGTTCCTTAGTAGATTTGCCGTAAAGTGCATCGTTTCCAGAGAACCTTGTTCATCGCGATTTCATTACCAGACCGTTTTAGATTAACGACAGATCGTCAGTCCTAATAATCAATCCACAACCGTCCCTTGCTCTATTATGCGATGCCTTACTTTGAGTACCGTTGCCAATAATGAGGCGTGAATATTGACGTCGGATTTGAAGGCGGCAAGGGTGTTATAGTTTCATACTGTCATTCGAAATCGTAAAACATTTGAAATAAGCTCGGTACCAGATAACACAACCGGGTGAAGTCGAAAGTGCATATTCATCCAAATCATTCAGAGTCATGAACCGGAATGCGGTTTGTCAATATGGCTCTGATGAACAGTTGCGTAAGTACAAGCCTATTGTCCTTGTTGGTTCTGGCTCTGTTCATTCTGACCTGATCTGGCAGTACTTCCAAGCTCGCTGATCATGGCAACGGGAAAAAGTTTCAGAAACGGCGTAAAATGCTATAAATATGGAATCAGCTTCCGGCTGAGCTAACTGTCTATAGATCCGGGCTCAAGAGCCGTTAGCTGTTTCGTAGAAACTTGTTCCGTTCACGGCATATTTGAAAAACAAACGAATCAGTCCCAATATCCTTCCTACAGGAGCCCGATACGCGAACGGCGTTGTGTAACGCCAATCAAATCAACAACTCTCGACAGAGAGAATGACACCCAAGAAAAAGTTTTCATGTCGGTGTCAGGTCAGCTAAAACTGTAAATGTAATTGTATTCTGGTTTTCAGCACTAGCCACTAAAACGCAACAATTGTGGATTTACGGTGAGCCAAGACCCTAAAAATTGGTGATCCTGTCTTCAGACAGGGACATTCGAAGGTTCTGGTGGGGGGGGGCATTATACACGCGATGACAACGACGGACAACTTCCATATTCGCTAGAAGTTGCAGGCAGAGGTGGACCAAGGTATACGACGTGAGGGAATTAATATTGACTCAGTGATGCTTCGCCAGTCGGTTGCAGCGGATCTTCACCGTCAACCAATGGCCTGCTTCTCGAACTACTCTCTTCGCCTGCTTTGTCGTTCTTCGTTTTATCACAGGAAGGTACGGAAGATGCTCAGACAACCAGCACCAGTTCTGATGAAAGGCTACGGCAGTTTTTATGCGAGCCGCGGCGCAACCAGTTGTACGCGTGATTTATGACGCGACACCAACGCTGATTCGATTTTTCGCCGCGCTGGTAGCGCTGTCAACGTATAGTACAACACTGACCAGTTGGTGACCATCGGACACCAGCAACGGACACGCATGTAGCGGTGAGGGTAATGCGAGGAGAGGCACAGGCGGGTGGCTGCCGCCGCGACGCCAGAAAGCACTTGACCTATTTGACGACCCGCCGGCCGGCCTGCCGGAGGACGAGGCGACAGCTGAAACGGCGTCGACGGCGGTGACGAGTGGCGAGTGCGCGCGGTCGAGCGGCAAGCGCCGCCGCCACCACGACACAATGAGGCCGGGTGTCCGCGGCGAATGACGGAAAGATGCCGGCCGGCCGGCCGGACGCTGCAGCTGGTCGGACGCACAGCGAGGAAGCAGAGGCCAGAAAACTCGCGACCTCGCTGGACGCCGACCGATCATCCACGCTTAGCTGTCACTGGTCACTAGCGCACCTTGTCAACACTAGCCTGGCGAGAACAGCCAGCGGCAACACACGCGCAGAGGTCGCGGTCGTGGCAGATTGCTCAGTGGCAGATCGGCTGTTCCTCGCGGAACACTGACGGTGGAACGGACGGAAAGGTTTTTCTTCGAGTTAAGCCTCATTAGACTCGGAACCTCCCCGGTCGGGCGGCACGAGCTTCAGCGTGGCGTCCACACGCGCACAATCTCATGACAACCGTCGTACGGGCGAGGATCACAAGGTCCGGTGGTCAGAAACTTCTGGCAACGGAAATTTACCGGGATTCAGACAACGTCGATCGATGGACGCTTCCCGAAAGCGTCAATGGAGGCATGTCATGAATTTGAAACCATAAACTTTATGGCATCTGCAGTGGAGCAACAAGTCGAAGTTGAAGCCTTAAATTTTTACTACTTAAATAGAATGACGACGAAGCGGCGCCATTTCGGAACACAAAATAAAAATAAATGTCAATCATAACGCGACGGAAGAACTGTCACAGCCAAGATTGATCGCTATATATTTTCTATTTTTAGCAAATATGTAACCGCACAGTGAGATAATCCACCCATCCTGGTAGTGAATGATGCAAATGTAGTTTCATCGCATGATCATTAACTCTACCCCTTAGCTGCAGCACTAACTGCTTCGAGTTCGTGTCGCCACTTGAGCTGAGGTTGAGGCCTGTGTCTACCAAACCTTTTTGATCGCAATAATGGGTACGATCTTTCGCGACCTGGTCATCCAAAAGGCCGGTGACCGGTGCATGAAGCCTTAATCGACTATTTTTTTTAAAACTTGAACATGAAGTCATGCCTATTATTTCGCTATATACTTAGATACTTGTTATTTACTACATCAAAGTAATGAATTAATTTAACAACGTAAAACGGAGTGAACCTCGAAAACCTTTCCAACAGACAAAGTACTTACGGTTACCAAAATATACACTTTCGCACCATTGCTGTACCTCCATGACAGGCACCATTTGTGACAACCTTCTTTGCATGGCGTCCATGGTGAGGCTTTGATCCACGAGTCAGTGCCATATGCAACAAGTACGTTATTTTAAGATCAATCAGCAGTTGTATAACAAATAATAATAATACTCTTGTTCTCTTATTTCTTTTATTGCAAACCATCTTCTAAAATTCACAATAAGGCCTTGCTAAATAACAGGTCGTCAGTAAATAAGGTTTCCCGATTCAATGATTAATGGACGCAGAAGATTCCCCGCCAAAGGTCTTTATTCAGATTTCGCATTTCAGATAATAACCACAATATCAGGGTAAACACTGTTATTGGTCGAAGTGGTTGCCATCCAAAACGTCGCTTCAGATAAACATATTTGATTGAAAATTTTTATTGTGCCTATGAATATTTAATCGAAAGACATTCTTTATAAATTGGCTGGTAAGCAATAAATAAGTCGGTAGGTAAATAAGCAGGTAGATTCATAAGTAACAAAAATCGATCAGGGGTTGAAAGACTTCCAGTCGTGCAGATTGGTGCCTCTGTAAAAAGTTAGAAATCGATCGAACTTCGATGTGGAATCTTTGCCTTCGAAAAACGAGCGCAAACTCAACTGTCAACAGTCATTAATACGAGGGAAAGATGCAAGAATTTTTTGAGCAGTGACGAGGGAACACGGCGGCCAACGGCCACCTGGACTTGAATGGTCGTTGGACACATGTGACGCACCAATTCCGTCGGATGATAACATATCGCGCAGAAACTACATCGATGGCTACACCACTATTTTTAAACAAGCTCAACGACAGCGTTACTATGCTAAAACGCTTGAAGGATCGCTGAACGAATGTGTTATTGACAACGGACTTTGTTAAGCACAACCACTGCGCAAATTCCGCAGGTTACTGCAGAACAGTACGAAAGCTATCAATCCCTCGCGACCATGTTCTAAGCACAACGGGCAAACTCAAATTCAATTCACCCTCACCGTTAAGGAAATCATACATGTAAGCCGCAAAGCGAAGGTAAAATAAATACGTCCAGAAACGACAAAAACTCAGAAATCAACATCTCGTAAATAAATAATACACCTGCAATTAAGAATAAAACCGAAACATGCTTTGAGCACTTCCGGCAGGTTGGCACCATATTCCACATTCGGTTGGTTGTCTTTAACTGATGTGAATCTTTCCTACTGGCGAGAATCAAGATGAAGTTTTCCTCCTAATTTCCACTAGAAATGTGGCAGAATCACCTTGCCGCAACTGTTTCAGATGCCTAGAAATACAATCCGAACAGACAGCTCGGAGAGCGCCACATGAATCCAATTGCTTCGTTCTGTGTGAAAGAACGACTTCAGACTTTCAAAACTGTCGGTGGTAGTTTTCAATAATGAATGCCGTTCAATATCTTTCAGATGTTTCAGGAGATCAAAGCAGTGGTTTTAAATTTATATAAAATATCTACTGAATTGAGAAAAAATTTTCCTCTATTGTTCAAATAATTTAATTTGTAGTCAGAACATGCACAACCGTTACATTACAATCCTCAGCAAGATTGCAATTCAGGGTGGGATTAGTTACACTTAGGGCTGTTTAACACACTTGGATGACACGGCGTTACAAGATATCTGGGCCGTAGCTGTATTAGAATCAGTCTCACAATAAAGAACTGTAAGGAGTTCACAAGTGAGAAGAAAATGTCTGAGAGAAGAATTTCGAGAATTTCAAAGTGAATGCAAAAGTGCAAAAACTAGACGGCTTTTCGGCACGCATTATGGCACGACAAACGTAGTCAAATTTAAATAATTGTGGGTGCTTTTGTCTCATCATCTGGCCACGCTTTCGTTCGACTGTGACGGTATAGAGAAATTTCTTTTTCTTCAAGTTAGTTTCTTCCTAGCTATGCTATTAGCGTCCCATAGCAAGATGTGATTTTTAACTATACTATTTTCTGACCAGGACATACATTAACCATATTATATAGTGGGACGCCAGCAGCACATTTAGGAAAGAAACTAAGTCGAAGGTGAAGAAAACTCCGGAAGCCGTTACTGTCGAACGAAGTCACCGCCACTGGATAGACAAGAAGCCTACGCAATTAGTTCAACTTTATTACCAATTCTAACCCTTAGTACGTGCTAATGAACTGTTTGACTCTTCCATTCAACCTCTTCGTGCTTTGTTATTCTTCCTTATTTTACCATACCTTCTTCTCAACTCTAACATCCATGGTTTCTTTACTGTTAGATTGATTTCAACATAGCTACAATTCAGATACTTTGTAATGATCGTCATTCAGGTGGTGGAGGGGGGCACATCAATAATAACTGATTCTACAGGTCGCACATGCCACTTAAAATAACAAATCGCTGAAGATCTTGCTACGGAATTACATTCCGCAAATATGCATTTTCCGATTCCGCTACATTACTAAAATAATAAAATTTTTGTCCAATTCTATCTTAAATAAAAACAGTGCAATGATTCCATGTAAACTTTTTCTCGAGGACACTCATTACTTGAAAAGAAAATCTTTTCTTTACATCTACGGCCATATCTGTCATATAGTCATATATTTATGACAATTTAGAAGATTAAGTGGCAAAGTAATTAAGTTCATTACTTCATGAATATAGTCCTAATCTGCGTTCATTCGCAGAAGTTGCGCGGTGTCGTCTAAGTGACGATACTTCGTCCGTCTTTCCAGTCACCGCTAGGATCACTCATCATCAACTTGTTAGTAAAGATACTGAAGCAAACGGCGAACAAAAAATGCCAGATATACCTAAGCAAGAAAAACACATAAACATAGTCTAATTTAGCGTTCCATACGCACGACAACCAAATCACGCAGCAATCAAGAATTCTTAAAACAAACTTCTGTGACTGCGGTCTGCCTTGAAGTGAGATTAAGTGAGGCCTTTACCTCATCGATAAGGCGAGGCAGTCGTATGGTCGATACTGAACTGTGGACGCCCCTCCAAAAGGCTACGCCTCACTGACAAAGAACAGTCCGCCGTCGCGGGATCGCGAAGCATGTCAATCACAAGTAGTCTAACTGCCATGTAATCGTCAGGAAGCAAGCACGACTATTTTATTGATTGGACAAGTTAATTATTGATTTCTACGAAACGCAGGACCGATTGCGGACCCGCCAATAAGCTTACCCCGTTTCCTACGAAAATCTTACCCAGCACCAACGAAAAACAATTGCGATAGGCGAATAAGAAAAGTGATAGGCAGTGGCTTTGTAGCGATCAATTATGGTAAGCCTGCTGCAGAAAAATATAATCATGGCCGTCTGTCTTAGTAATCAATGGCACGTGGTCAACAGTGGGACCATTATGTCAGCATATTGTGACCTCTCACGATGACGGCAATGAAATGCTCCATAATCTGTAGTTCTGGTCGAACAAGCTGTCCTGTTCGTAAGTGGCAACCTCCACACTAGGAAGGCGACGGCGGGGACTCCATTGCAAATGTTTGCTGCTGCTGTCAAGGCAATGTGAACAGTAACCTCAGCCGAAGCCTCGGAATATGACGAATGAGGGCGGCTCTGCGGCTGTCGATTATGCTGATAATGGTTGGAAGAGGGAAAACTGCGTTTCGGACGCAGTCGCCAATGTGATGCTCACTAGCAGCATCAGGTGTTTTTTATTAAACATCCAAAGCCATCTAACATTCTTTTACCAGCGTTCAGGTTTCGGAGACCCACAGTAAGACCGGCAGAATATGCATTTGATAGATCCATACTTTGGTGCGCTGAGACAGATCACTCGATGGTAAAATCCGCGATGTAGCAAGGACCTTAGATAAGTAGCGCTCGAGATCTGCGAGTTCCTGATGTAGAAGACTTGTTCTGGTTCATCTACTGCCCGTCCTCGAATTTCGACCCCTTTCCAGTATGTGTACATCCCACTTCTGCCAAGAAATCTTCTGACTTCGACAGGACAAGGGCATGTTCAGGGACCAAGTCTTTTGCCGTCTAAATCTGGCGTCAGTAAATGAAAAGTAATACGTACTGGCGGAAGTGAAAGCCCACTATTCGGTGGTAGTCACCCCACAGCATCGCTGTCATATACTATCTGCATTCTTGGTGTTCGAACATGACCTTGTTTTTCTAATGATGCGAACAAAGAAGAGGATAACTAGCCCTTAATTCTAGACTCAACTATTAACCGAGGCATTTCACGTTGTCTCTTTCGATATTCAGCGATTGCATCACAAAATTGCAACTTTGCATTTTCGAACACGTTCCTAATCCAAATCCATCGCGCAGCTAACAGGTTTGAAACAAAACCATTTGACCAGTGAATTGGGACAAACAATGGTCCGCTGACATTAAACCCTGATAAGCTAGAGTAGCTTGGTCAACAGACTCGGTCTCGCAACAAGATCGTGGGTTCAAACCTCGGTTAGGTAAACTTCAATTTCACCCTTCCTTAGGAGGCAACTAAACACCATGATTTAGGAAGTAAGCAAGAAACTATACACTGTAGTTACTAGTAGGGCTGTTTACACTATCTTTGAAAGAATATGACGCTGTTGACGTCGTGACGGAGATCAAAGCTGCACCAAATACTAGGTGGAGTGGTGGCACAGTGTCTAATACTTAGGCCTCGAAGCCGGAAGTCTGGGGTACGATTCAGATGGAGGGCGATCCATAACTTAACTATGAACTTCATCGAGCAAGGAATTTACCAAGCATTGCTTCAAACTAGAATTACTCACTAGGTAGAACGTCGAACTCAGAACCAAACGGTCCCGGGTTAGAACCCCTGTCAGGGTCACTCCTCTTTCTTCCTTCCAAAGCTGATAAATAAGCACCACTCGATGGGATAAAATAGGCGACAAAAAGCTGCATGCTGTCGACTCTGCGTTTAAAATAACGCACTTCTGACTGATGACATGG